AATACCTTTACCTACAGAAATTCGTTCTCTTTTAATTTATTCTAAAAAAAGTAAAAATGTTTTCAATTGCCTTATGGAATATTTAGATTTAAATAATATTAAGTTATAAAATTTTATTCATTATTTAGAATTTAATAGTATTTATATAGTTTTATTTAATATTTTAAATGTGGTAATGAGTTCAGTTTTATTTTATTTCAATTCTATATAATTATAATGTTCTTCATTTATTGAATAAACTTCAGTACAAGTCATTTCATATTTCATTAGTTCTTAATTTTTTTCGGTTTTTAATCAGAATCATAGTTTTCATTTTTATTGTTCGCCGTTTCTTACAAGTATTATTTATTGACTGGAGGTTGGCAGTAATTGTAAGGTTGCCATAAAAAAAAAAAAATAGGATGACGTTCATTTGTGGTAGTTCGTTTGTCATCTAAGCCTTGTTCGGAGTTATTTTGCAGTGTTACACTAAGATGTTTTTTAAAGTATAGATACGTCATACTCGCTCTAAAATGGCAATACGAAAGTCAGGTAACTGCCCGACTCACATTCGGTCGGGCACGCTCTCGCGTTGCGGCTATACCTTCGCTACAGCGCGTAAATCTTCTAGTTATTCGTGGTAAAAATGCCTTCCTGTGTTTTAGGTGGTGCACAAATTACAAGGCAACTGTTAGAGACAAGAAAAACGTCTCATTAATATTCTGAATATAAGATGTTTTGTTCATAATTAGTTTTATTATTTCAACACTAACCGCTAGGGTAAACTTTGACGCTAGCTCGTGTGTTTATTTCCATATCGGTAGGTATATCACGCGCTCGCGCCAATGAGCGCTCAGCAGCAATCAATACGCAACTAATGATGTATATTCATCTTTTTCTAACGATAGGTATGCTCTATCATTTGTCACTTTTTGTTAGCGCAACGTGTCATAATAAATAACTGTACGTAGATATAGTACTACCTGCGCCACTTTAAAATACAATAATGTTAGTGTGTAACATGTCTTTCTTTTTTAATACGTCTATGGTGTTACAGTGAATTTTGACTATTTTGGAGCCTTTTTGTTCATTAGTAAAGGGTAATTGAGCAAAAACAACATGACAAAGTGTTGCATCAATGGATGTAATTCAAATTCTCGTAAAAATGAAGAAGGATTGTCATTTTTCAGGTTAGATGTAATTTTTTTCCTTAATTGTATATTTTTTCGTGTGAATTGCGTTTCGTGTTCATGTTATGGGTTCTAAATCGTGTTTCCCGCTATTATCTAGAATTTCCAATGACTATTATCATGTAAATTTAAACAAGTAAACATTTTGATTGTTTACATTTTTACATAGTATTGCCCTTACGTGCTGTCATGTTTTGAAATTATCGATATAAATTTTAACAATAATATTAATGTAGTCCTATGATCAAACGTATATTTAATCAAACGATCGATTGAGAGCCTTTCATTTAAGAAAAGAACTTGAAAATAGTGTAAATCGTAAATTTTCTATAATAGTTTTTTTCATCAAAAGATTTGATGATATTAAGATTATTTTTGATTGGTACTTAAGGATGCGTAATATTTATTATAGGTTGCCAAAAAATGAAGGCCTTCAAAAATTGTGGATTGATAATATAGGGCAGGAAAACATAAAACCTGCAGTAGTAAGAAGAATATGCTCCTTGCATTTTGAAAAAGAATGTATAAATAGAACGCTAGATGTAGTTCGGCTTAAGGGTGATTTGGTTCATGTGTCTAAAATAAATTTTCTGACAAAATAATATTATTTCGTCACGAATAAATGATTTTAATCAACATACATTATTGTTATTTTATTTATTTTTAATCCTTACTCTCTCGTTTACCTACAGTATCCACCACTAATTACGCTACTGGTGGAAGTCATTACAACTGGCAGGTTGTAAACACTATAAAATTGATATTTTGTGGTGTTACACAAATGGGATATAACGAGAAATGAGTATGGAAGTGGAAGTCTGAAGAGGCGCAGCCACTCCTATTGATCGAAATGTTGCATGGAAATTGGTTGTCATATGGTATGAACATGGGATGCTGAAAATTGAGGAATACGTTAGGATAGTTAAATGATTAATGGATTGTGTGAACGGTGGTATGGTTCGAAAGGGGCTGCTCAACTCGATTAGATTACTGTGATAAATAAATAAATAATCTTTTTTATCAAAAAAAAAAAAGAGAGATGACGGCTAGTAACTATGTATGAAAGAACACATGCCCCACAAACTTTAAATAAATCAAGATAAAGATCAGTCTACTGCACGTTCATGGTGACTTGAACTGGTAACCGACTATTACCACGAAAGAAAGGTGTTGTCGAATCTTTATGGCGGCTTGGAAGTTAAGAGCGAGCGCTAGTCCGTGCAGATATAGTTGAAAGAAAACTTGATGGTGTCTCAGATTACTCTCAGCCGCTATAAAGTCTATATATATATATATGATATAATTCACGCAACCTGGACGCATACCGTTGGGGCTGGTTCGATGTGGTGCAGGACAAAACCACTGGGAAAAACTTAGGGGAGACTTCTGCCTAGTAGTGGGACAGCATGGGCTGGACAAAAAAATCATACGAAGCCTAATACATTGCCTATAGTGGTGGTTTCGTTAATCTCTGCAGAGGTGAAAAAAAAATGCATGCGTCGACCCAGGGACGCAAGGTTAGAGTACTTATGTGCAGATTGCCGTCGTTACGAAAAAACGTTAGCTCGTTGCACGAACTCAGTATAATATTCTGGTGGACGTCGTATACGTGTTCTGAAAAGAAAGGAGTTAAGTGTAGTGATCTAATATTTGTTTATTTAATATATACCTATGAGATGGACAATACGTCATAATTTATATAGCATCGATACTGAAAATATCGACATAACCAACGCTATTTCTTGTGGGTGGAGTCGCCGCCATATTTGAGAAACACTTGACTTCAGATCACGTGACCACATGCCATATCCCCTATTTTTCTTATATCTATTATGGAGTGTAGAGTACAAGGAGAACCATCTTATAAGGGGCGAAAGTTGAAAAAGTGTCCTACTATTTACTGAAAATAGAGGTTCCAAAACCTATCACAATAGCGCTGGCGTCTGAAAAACTACGATATGAATATATCTTTTTTAAATAAAACTAATTTTACGGATTTTATCGCGTATATTAACTTATTTTTATATTCCCGACGTTTCGGGTGCTTTCCAGCACCCGTGGTCACGGGGGACTGAAACGGGTGCTGGAAAGCACCCGAAACGTCGGGAATATAAAAATAAGTTAATATACGCGATAAAATCCGTAAAATTAGTTTTATTTAAAAATGTGTAGTGTTCGCGTAAATATAAGAAATCATTATGAATATATCTGTTATGAATGGAGTGAAGTCAACTGAATTCAAATATTTCAAAAATTTCATGAATAGAGTACTTAGTAAAACGCCAATATACAAAATCTCAACTATTTACGTAGTACAAAACCAAGCGGATTGGTAGGTCCTTATTTATTTCTCTATCTTACTCTAATTACTTTTGGGGCTTTTTTTAATTTATCCTATGCTACTGCAACGCCACCCTTATTGGACACGTTTTTAGGGACACTTTTCATAGTATAGACATGGTCCTCCTTCTCTCTACACTCCATAATATCTATTATGGAGTGTAGAGTAGGAGGAGAACCATCTTATAAGGTGCGAAAGTTGAAAAAGTGTCCCAATATATACTGAAAACAGAGGTTCCAAAACCTACCACAATAGCGCTGGCGTCTGAAAAACTACGATATGAACATAGCTGTTGTAGACGGAGTGAAGTCAGCTGAATTCAAATATTTAAAAAATTTCATGACTAGAGTAGTTAGTAAAATGCCAGTATACAAAACTTCAACTATTTACGTAGTACAAAACCAAGCGGATTGGTAGGTCCTTGTTTATTTCTCCATCTTATTCTAATAAATTTTGGCGCTTTTTTTTAAATTTATCCTATGTTACTGCAGCGCCACCCTTATTGGACGCGTTTTTAGGGACACTTTCATATACAGAGATGGTCCTCCTTCTACTCTACACTCCATAATATCTATGTAGATTACTGAATCTATGGATTGTATTCTGTTTGTGTCAACTTGACAAGGAATAATAAAAAAATTAGTGATGGGTCAAGCAAAGATATTATAACATACTTCGTATAGAACCATAGACTTAGTATCTTACCTCTATCTACGTATAGAACAAGATTGTGCACTCTGAAGAAGTGGCAAACGTAAAATGTATTCTATGCTATTGAAATAAAGTCTACTTTCACATAATATTAGACTCAATGGAAAAACGAGCTGAGCGAGATGCCTCTATTAAGGAATGCGTCCTTGTCTATCGCGTTGCAACAGTGAAATATTTTTTCACGTAGTCGAAATTAATGATATTTTTTATTTCTGTTCTTGTATAATTCTAAATATTTATTAAATAAAATTAAAGAGAAGACTTCATAAGAAAATATTTATACTTATGGGTAATTTCCAACCGTGTTTAACTATTTGCTTTGTTTCAAAGTCGTAGTTTTGGCAATTTTTACAAACAAAAACTGAGCAATATGCAATAGCAATATGGCGTATACTTTGTGTGAAGTGTGAACCGATCGAGTAGTGAATTGTGTTTGCCCAGTATTTACTTTAAAGTTTCATGTTTTATCGTGTTTAAATAATTAAAAATGGTCTCACTTGTTGCGTGAAAGGATGCAAAAGTGAATCATACAAAGGAAATTGTGTATCTTTTCACAGGTAAATAATTTTGTGATGCTTGAAGTAGTGTGTCCATATTTATTTTAATCGTCTAGCTTCCCATATTGCTAAAGTGATTTATGTAATAAGTTAATGTTTTGTTTGACAGATTGCGATGTTACTTGGGAGTGTTGGTGTGCACAGTTTTCTTTCGTATACAACGCATTATGACATATTTTCAAAGCGATACCTACTATCCGTCAAACATTCAATCCGCATTTGATGCGCTGCAACCGTAAGTTCTGCGTACGTGGGCTTAGCTTGCTCTTACCTTCGGCGCGGGTCTCACAAGGTGACACACGAGTCACGTCGCATACAAAAACGTTAATGTTTAGTCTCAAATAAGAGACATGAGCAAGTATCCTCCCTTGTGTCGCTTAATGTTTTGGCTATAATTTGTAACACATATACTCTGTAAGCCACATGTATTGTTGATAAATAAATTCTTAATATCCTCATCTGCTTCAGGTTTCCAAAAGACGAAGAAATAAAAAAAGATGGCTTAACATTATCTCTGGAAACATTACACAACATTCAGTACTTTGTGGCCTGCATTTTAAATTCGAAGACTTCACCACCCATCCTGCAGCAGCAAGAAAATCATTAAAATTAAATGCTATTCTGTCTATATTTCCCGTGGTATGTTTACCTTTAATATACAAAGTATAATAAGCAACTTTGAGAACCACATTCTAATAAAATCTGAAAGATGGTGCTGACCATTCCCGTAATTTAAGGTGCAAATACGACTTCATTTATTATTTTAGGGAACGGTTCTTTGTATAATTTGAATATGACAACCAGTTGTTTTGTATATATTTAAAAATGTAGCATTGTGTGAGTGAGACAGACAGCCCATGTTGAGATACATCCCTAAAAAGCGTTTTTTTTTGTGTTTTGGCTACACTGGTTACTATTCTTTCAATAGCAAATAATTAACTGTTGTTAATTATTTTTATTATTATTTGGTAATTTCTTGTTTATTATAAAACAGTTTAACATAAATTGTCACATACTAATCCGTCATAAGCTCTTAAGTCAAGAAAGCGTGTTGCCATATATTTACATTCTGAAAGTTTCATACAATTTTTATTATTTGCCATTGACAGAATTCTAGTCTAGTGTGGCCAAAACACACACTGCTTTTTAACTAGTAGGCATTTACAATGCCGTCTATGAGATTTTTTTTAGAACGTGTCCCTCAAAGTTCCTCATTAAGAATTATGATGCCGATAAAAATAGTTTTTCAGTATATATTTCTTAAGGAAATATACCTAAAAGCTATTTTTTTTTTGCCTTTTCTAAACTGAGCTGAGAATCTGCTGATTGACTCAGCACAGAGGCAAAGGAAAAAATAAATTTTTCAGTAAATGTTTCTTAGTGAAACATGTTGTTTTAGCAACATTTTCATCTTGTTGCTGTTGTGCGTACATAATATAATTACACGGCAGAAGTACTCTGCTGCTGCCGTTTGTGTACATAATTTAATTACAATAAATATACTAATAACTAATTTCGTACTCCATTACTCTTTCAGATAATACTCGAAAATAAGAAAGTGCATGTGCTGAGTTCTATAACAATCTCTCAAGAAATGCCTCCAACACCTGGAACATCATCAGTGCCACCATCTAAGAAGATAAAATTGCAACAAAATGCAAAAACACAGACATCTATAACATTCAACACGTCCAGAAAAAATAAACTACACCGGGAAATCAAAATCTTATCTCAAAAGTTAAAAAGACGTAATGAAACAATCAAGTCTGAAATCATTGCTGACTATTATTAAACAAAAATGTGATAGCTATGACGAGGTACGAAATATGGTCCAAATGAATTTTGAAAATATTCACACACAATTAAACAAACATTTGTCAAACCGAAGTGTAAGATATAATGATGGTCTTAAATCGTTCGCGTTGTCATTGTATTATTATTCCGGCAAAGCGTATACGTTTATAAGAAACCATATTTCGCTCCCACATCCTGCAACATTGCATCGCATTTTATCGACCAACGACTGTAATGTTGGTTTCATGACAGAAGTTTTAAATTTTTCGAAAAAAAAAAGAAGGTTTCCGGAAATCCTAATTTAGTGGACGTAGCGTTTATTTTTGATTCCATACACATAAAATCTCAACTTGTATATGACGCAACTAAGGATAAATTTTGGGGAATTTGGAGGCGTTGTATCTGAAGATCCTGAAAAATGGCAACTAAAGCGTTAGTGTTTCAGATTGTAACACTAAAAGATAAATTAAAATGTCCAATCGCATACTTTTTTGTAGACAAAATATCAGCGTCCATCCAAGCAAAACTTGTAGAAACAGCTATTCACAAATTGGCGGATATTGGTATAATCGTCCGATGTTTAACTGCAGATGGAACTACTGCGAATATAAGCACATTTGAGATATTAGGTTGTTCTTCTGAATTTCCCAATATGAAAACTTACTTCGATCAACCATCAGTGCCAGTAAAAGTGTATTGTATCCTTGATCCTGCTCATATAGTTAAGCTGGCTAGTAACGTATTTGCTGAAATGTCATTGTTTTCAGAAAATGGAAACATATATTTTCAGTTTGTCATACGATTACATAGCTTAAAAGAAAAAGAAGGTCTTAAATTAGCTAACAAAATAAATAAAACGCACGTAAATTTTTACGGAAAAAAATGAATGTACGATTATCTGTACAAGTTTTGAATAGCTCGGTTGCAAATGCCATTGAATTTTTGAAATGCAGCAATCATCCAGATTTTATTGACAGTGAAGTAACTATCGAATATTTAAGAGTGCTTTTTTGATTTTTTGACGGAATGACAGAAAATGACAGAATTTTTGATTTATTCAATACTAAAAATCCTTTCGGAACCAGATTTAAGTCGCCTATGCGCAGAGAAAATAAGGAATACTGGCTGAATGTGCTACACGACACAAGACATTATCTATCTGGATTAAAAGTAAATGGACAAAATATCTTGTCTCACAGGCGAAAAACACCTGCTTTAGGTCTGATAGTTGACACACTAAGTTTTGCCGGTATAGCAGAAGATCTCCTAGAAAAAAATGCATACTTCTTAACACACAAGTGCTCTCAGGATCACCTCGAGATGTTATTCTCATGTATCCGAGCGAGAGGTGGTTCTAATGACAATCCGGACGCTCTTCAGTTCAGGTATACGATGCGGAAACTACTGTTCCAGAATAGTATCAAGCCCAGCATCAACTCTAATTGTACAGATTCAAATTACGAAACAACACCTATTCTCGAGTTCAGAAGTACAGAACGTTGTTTACGAACCCTTTTTCCCGACAGTTCACAAAACAGTAACGCAGATGAAGACAGACATATAGACGAACTCATGGATCAAGCAGATAAAAATACTGTACCTAATTTTAAAAACAATATCCTCTTTTATATATCTAGCTATATTGTTAATAAAATACTGGACAAAATAACTTGTCAGCATTGCCGAGCTGCATTGTTGATAAAAAAACGGCATGAAGACCATTCGTACATTTTGGATATCTGTAAATTTTGGTCATTTACTGCTTTTGTTGACAAAGGGGGCCTAAAATACGCCTTAAAATTTGTATTCGATGTAGTAAGGCACGGTGAAATACTTTTTAACTCTGTGTCGCATGAAATTTGGCAAGATCAGTTAAAAAATTAATTAATTCTCAGCACAATTCGTCATTTCTATCCGAAATTAAATGATATATTTATTCCACCTCATCCGGTTCTTTCTATAAAGTGTAAAAACAGGCATGAGACAGAAATTATTAAATGTATAGTGACAAAAAAATTTAATTTAAGATTAAGAGCTTACGGAAAAAGCGAAACGTTAAAATAGATTGGACACAAAGCTACCATGCGTCAAAAGCTACACAGGACAATTTTGTTCGGCAATGTATAAGCATTGCTTATCTGTATTACACATACGACAGAATTAATATAGTTATGGTAATAAACTGACTTTACTATCTACAGTCTTTTATTTTTTTTTATTAGTCTTTTATTTTGGCAGCGCCTGTGTGAAAGGGAAGGATAGTGAATATGAATAGTATAATACCTAATGCATTGTTTCGTACCGAGCTAGATAAAAGAGTTTGGCTTGGTTTGGCTTACGCGCGGATATTGACCCTATTCAGCTGATTTTATGATTTATTTATTTTAAATTTCACTGTTGGCTTAATGTTTAAGTATTTTCATGATTTTTTTTAACGAAATAATCATTTTATTTAGCTATGCCAACATGATGGGGCGTGAATAAAGCTAATAAAACGTTGCAAAAAGGTGATTTTTTAACTCAGGATCGATTTTATTTCTCACCCATCGTCAAAGGTACAGTTAGTACTATCGTCTGTCTTCGTTTTCGGTAGCGTTTCATAAACACCCGATATTTCTTTATAAATAAATTACAACACATGTAAATTTTAGGTATATTATACTACGTGACACATATTATACTACGTATTAATTTGAAAAATGACAATTTGACTGAATAACTATGAGGTTATTACGCTAGGTTTAGTAGAAGTACTTATCGTCATAGAAATTTTCTTCTTCTATGATTTCTTAGTATATTTCATAAAATCTCCGCAAATAGAACATCGAAAGAATTCTCTATCTATGTTTACATGAAAATAATTTGATGGAGTAGGGGTAAAACGAACATTTATTCGTTTGGTCTAAATCGATCTTTATGTGTAGACAACAGGGGGCGAATGAGCATACGATGTCTATCAGGCGGTTATTCGTTATGTTTATCCACCCTAAAACAAACACCCTAGGGTGGATATTCAGAAACGCGTATTCATCTATCCACCCTAGACGGGGTGGTGTTATATTTCTTCAAACAAAATGACTGTATACGGCCGAGGGAGCTCAAAGCCCAAATTAAAGGACTAGAAATTCATTGGAATCTTCACGTACAAGGGTGACACTGAAAGTTCTTAGAAAATTAAAAACTGAACAAACTAGCAAGTTATTAATTTTATTATATCTTTTCAAAATAGTGTCCATTTACATCAATACATCGCTGCATGCGATGGAAACACTGAGAAAAGCACTTTGCCCACCCGTCCTTAGGGGTCTCTTCGACGGCATCTTGAAGCGCAGCCACTTCTTTCTCGGCGTCCGTAAAACGTTTTCCTCGAAGTTTTTCTTTTATTTTCGGAAATAAATAAAAATCACAAGGTGCGAGGTCGGGGCTATAGGCCGGGTGACCCAGTAATTCCACGTCTGACGTCGCACAAGGCGTTGTCGTGGTGAAGAAGGATCCTACTTCGAGGTCGTTTCTCCCGAACTTTTTCCAAGACAAGTGGTAAACAATTGTTAGTGTACCACTTTGCAGTAACTGTTTATCGATCCTCTAAATCAATTGTTGCGCAATGACCTGTTCTTCCGAAGAACGAGACCACCATATTTTTTTCCACGCTTCGACCTCTCTTCACTTTAGTTGGCAACTTCTCGGAAGGAAACACCCAGACAGTAGACTGTCTCTTAGTTTCAGGATCATAACAATAAATCCAGCTTTCGTCACCCGTTATTATGTCGAACACAGCATTTGAGTCGTCGTCGTTGTCGTGAAATGGTTCTAAGATTTAACGGAGGTGTTAAATCTTATAACCATTTCACGACAACAATCAACTCGACGAAGTTTATTGGGCCTCTGTCAAATTATGAGGTATCCACCGGGCACAAAGCTTCCTGACCGCTAAATGTTCATGGACGATTTTCTGCACTTGACTCTTACCGATGATGATGATATCTTCAGTCGTCGCCATAGAAGGCCGTCCCTCGCGCAGATCATCTGTGAGATTGGTGCGACCACGTTTAGACTCATTAAACCAGTTGTAAACAGTGGCACTATATGGTACTTCATCGTGAAAGGCCAATCGAAGTCTATCATAACTTTCTTGTTGACTTAAATGGCATCGAAAGTCATAAAAATCATTGTACGAAAATTATCGATACATTCATGGAATCCCGAATCGGAATTCCGCACGGAATCCCAAAATGGAATTCCGTATGATTGTAACCGGCCTTACGTCGATGTAGAATAGCCAATCAACCGCGTACAAAAATACTAACGGGAGTATTATTTACGGAGGAAATCGATACGTCTGGCGCAGTTCTATTTTAGCGGATGCTAATTTCAATTAACCTTCTCAAATCGATTTATTGTTGGGAGTGATAGTGTTCATTAAACATCGATTGTTGAAGTATTCGATAGTAATCGATAGTTTCTTATAAGACAAACGATATATCGATAGACTATCGATTGTCTTTGAGCAGGTATCACAAATAATAATAACAATAGGTAATTATTGCACTTTTTGTTTGCTCGTGTTTGAGAAATACGCAATTTGTCACTGGCTAGTGTAGAACTGTGAAGGAAAGTCACAATAGGCTTTGTCTTCATCAACTGATTTCTATTAAAATAATTTTTAAAAGAACTTTTAGATATTTTTGGTTGCACTTCATTTTGAACTAGATGATGATCCCTCTTCCGATTCTAACTTATATATTTTATCGGCATGTTTTCTTTTCAAGTGATCTTTTAAATTGGTCGTATTTCCTAAATAATTTCTTTATTATAAAAGTTACACATTACAAACGGATTATTATTGTCCACTATCTAGAAATAACTCCACATTAATTATTGATTTTTAGGATAAATTTTCGATTCATTATAAAGTCAAATACAAAACAAATCAGTAAACTATAAAACGCAAGATCAACCGCCTGTTCTAGCACTCGCACAAATACTTAATGACTTACG